TGGATTTAATTCATCCCAAGACCAAGCTTGTAACTCAAAAGACTCGTATCTCAAATCAATTTTTCCCATTGAAATTAATAAGAATATTTCCAATCTGTTCCAGGCCCCTAAAAATTCACTACTGTTCTTTACACTTACTTTCTTCAAACCCATGGTGTCACTAAAAGAATTTTGTAAAAAAAGATAACAGAGACCCATCCAGAGCAGGGGTGAACATGTACTTTGGATACTTAACTGAAACTTGTTTGTATCTCAAAATTCAACTTGTATCACAAGGTAAAAAATCAGCCAAGCTTCAGCTCATATCTCAAAAATCTTGTATGTTGGTATGGTTGTATCTCAAGGTATTACTGTATTCAATATAAGTTATGACAGAAAACAAGAAACAAAAAGGGACCATTCATCCTAACCAGAAGTAAGCCTACATTATCAAGAGAACAAATCTTTTAATTTTATATTTTGTTTGATAAATGGAGGCTGAGTTTAGTCTGTTTTTAAGAGAAGGTATTAAGTTGTTAATGAAAAGAAAAACAGTCAAGTATGGTATATCAGAAAAGACAGGCAAATCTAAACTCTGCACATACATGCTTGTTGCTAGTATTGCAGATTTTTTACTTTACATTTGTTGGAAATAATTTGTTACTTTTTGGTTTGCTGCACTCATCAAGTTCCTTTGTTAGCATCCAAATGTCTGTTTCTTCATAAAAATATAAATTTATGTTTTTTATGTCTGATTTATATTTGAGTTTTTAACAGAATGTTGTAGTCAGCATGACAAGTAACTTTTTTTGGTGAGAATGTTCAGACTACAGAAAAATCATTTTTCAGACATTTTCTTTCATTAAGGTCAGAGTTTTAAAAAAATGATTTTATTTGTTCTGAATTATACAGGATGTAAATGAAAAAGCTGCCATATTTGAAATAAAAAAAGTAAAAGAATAAAAAAGTAGTAGGAAAGTAAAATGATTGTTTTTAACACTTATCAACCTTTTGCAAGTTATTTAAAACCAGAAAATATTTTTATATTGTAAGAATTTTTTTTCTTTGAGATAATGATTTACTTAATACAAATCCTACTAATTAATTCATGGCTGAAGCGAGAAGTGGATTTGTACTTTTCCTTACATTTGCACATAAGGGAATATAACCAAACCAACTGCAATTGGAGCATGGGTCTCCAATTTCCAATTGTAAGCCATTATCCACTACATCACCCACACATCCAAACTTACAGCACTTGATATTCTCAAATGGTTACCCATCTAGCTACTGAACAGGATTAGTGTTTCTTTGGTGACCATACATGCACAAACTGGTGTTCCAATGTGATATGGCCGTAAATCAAAAGTAAAATTAGATGAGGCATAAAGAAAATGTTTTTATTAACAAACCAAACAATATGAAAAAATGTTTTAGGGGACAATGAATCACCCACACAAACAATTGGTACTCAAGCCCAAAGGTAAATGTCTGGATAGAGTTGTCATTGGCATGAGTTTACAGATTTATCTTCATTCAATGGAAATATTACAAGTGAAAACTAATTGGACATATTTGACCATTGCTTTTTTCCACAGTTCTCCAAAAGGGCTCTGCAAACAATGATCTTTCAATCTATCAGTGTATCTCTATATTATTCACATGTTGAGAGTTTTTGAACAGAAAATTACCAATCTTCAAAGTTTAATATGATAACAGCCATATTACAGTGAAAAGCTAACTTTAAAGACCTTACAATGAAAAATAGCTAAAATAGAAGTTTTCAGTATAATTCTGGAAAGCATTAATAGTTTCTAATTTGTATGATTGGGAATTTAAATCTGTTAAAAATGAAATTATATATACACACACACCTGTCTAAGGTATATGGATTAGTCTTATACATTTTTAGTGCACATCTTTTCTATTTTTTCTCATACTTTCATTTGAGAATTGTTTTGCATTCATTTTCTACATAAAGCACATTCTATTTATATGTTTCTACATATAGCACATTGATATAACAATAAATAATTTTGTATAATTTGATATATCAACAAACAATATTTAGAAAAATTGAACAAACTGGAAAATTTCTTGTGACATGTTTCATCTGTTAGGATTTCATCATGTCACAAGAAACTATCTAATTATCATATTTTTCTAAATATAGTACATTCCAAATAAATTTTTAAAACTTTGAAAATTTATCAAAAAAATTTTCATTTACAATTACCTGCCTTGCATTATGACTAAATATTCCATCTTTGTTTATCATTTTAAAAATTTTCCCTTATATTTCCAGTTTAGTTTATGATAAACAAAAACAACAAATAAATGTTGTTTGTAAATGATTCAGTCAAGTGTTTCTAACCAAAACTTGGCAGAAATAACATAATTTTCTTGCTTTGTTTATTAAAGCAAAATTAATTCTTGTAATCAGATTATGTTTTTCACATTTAGAGATAAATAATAGAAATATTTAAATTTAAGACCTTCAAATTTTCATCTTTAGTTTGGGTTTTGTTCACTTTTTAAAAGAAAACCCACTTTGTCTGTGTGTGCATACATGTTCCATTTATTAAAAGCCCATCACTATTGGTGAGATGTAATAATTTTTATTTTAAGAAATTAGTTGCTTTTAGAATATAATAAAATTTCAATTAAAAATTTTAGCATTGTCTTAGCATCGTCCCCCAAAAATAGCTAACCAGTCATGCCAAACTAATGTTTTATCATCCCTAATCTGAAGCCCTGAGCAAAACAGTGCAACTGCACATTACTCATGATGTCATTAAAGATATTTGGGACAGAAAATTACCAAATCAATGGTTTGGGAGAGCAGGACTACTGATTTGAGCAACAAGGTCCTTTCATATCACATCTCAAGAGTTTTTTTTTGTTTGAAGTCATATTAAGAATGCAATTGACAATAGACAACACAAAACACTTCAGGATTTTAAAAATTAATTGATGAGATGAAGAAACAAGGAAAACATGTTCAAAGGTTATTTTTAATTTTCATGCAAGATTGTAAACTTGCAATAACAACAATGGCTCATCTTTTAAGAAATATCAATTTTACTTATTGCTTGATTTGTTAATAAAAATATTTCCTTTGTCTTGTATTGCTTTTCTTCTATTTTAATTTTCAAATGTTGTAGCTACTTTATTTATACTCCTAATATGTCTGTACATCCATCTATAAATGCATCATATACATGAAAGCATAGTCAAATATTAATATATATATATATATATATATATATATATATATATTATAAAATGGACAAAGTCCAACAATTATTTTAGGACATTTTTATGTTTATACATTCTTTTTATAGATACAAATATTTAAGTAAATGCTCTGTTTATAATAAACAGTATCAAACAACATTTACTGGCCTGAATATGTCCATTTCATAATGTGTGACGTCATTTGTTTACATTTGATACGCCATGAGCAGATATGAATGTACGTGAGAGATTCATGGAAGATTGAAGTTTAAATACAGTAAATTCAACCTTGCTAACCGAACGCTCCTTCGTGGCCAAATCGGTAAAGACATGTCAAGCTAAATGAAGGTTTCGTATAGGATACAGGTTCGAATCCTGTCGCAGGACGAATATTTTCTGTGAAAATTTCTCGGACATTCAGGCCGGTAAATGTTTAATACCGTTTATTATAAAACATTATTATAGCATTCACTTAAATATTTGTATCTATAAAAAGAATGTATACATAAAATATTTTAAAATAATATATATATATATATATATATATATATATATATATTTACATCCAGTTATATTAACAAAAAATTTAATTATATTTTATTAATATATTGACTATAAATATATATATTATATATATATATTTATAGTCAGCTATATTACAGTAAAATGTTAATTTTAAATTTTAGTTTAATGACCTTATAAAAAAAACCCAAAAACACTGAAAAAATAAAAGAATGTTAAATATACATTTTCAGGATACTTCTGGACAATATTAAAAATTTCAGTTTCATAGTTTGTATGATTTGGAGTTTAAAACTCTTGTAAATACAAGTGCACATGCACAAACACACACACACACACACACGTCTTAAGTACATGGATTAGTCTCATACATTTCTAATATGCAACATATCTTTTCAAAGTTCAATCATTATGATTAAAGTTTACTAATTACAAAAATAACAGTGTGAGTTTTATTCACATAATATAGCTTCTGTTATATTTATGATAATTTCCAAGAACTAAAATTTCTGTTGATACATATAATGAACATGATTTTTAAATACTATTTGATTTACAAAAAGTATATAGCAATTTTGTATATTCTACAATATATCTATTAGTTTAGAAAGAGCATTCTATTGCTTGTTTTTTATGATAAATTTAAAGTTGATACTTGACTATTTTATAATTATGCATATGACTTAATCTTCTGATCTTTCCTTCCGGAAATACTTAATGCCAAGTTGTATAATTGTTAAGATTGATATGACACATATTGTAGCCCTAGCTACTTCTGTTCATTTGACCTAGGCAGATGCTTCAACCATAACCTTTTTATTGTGTTCCCTACAAACTCTGCAATTTAATTTCATTTAGTTTCATAATTGACCTAAGAACTTTTTAGTACTTTTTGTGTTATGAATTTAATTGTAATACACTTCATGACCATTTTTATACTTTCATATTTTGTAGCAAATCTGAGCTTAATTTTTTTTGAGATTTTTAGTATCTTGTGAGACATGTGTTTTTTGTTACACTCCCTTTGTATAACCCAGTGACTTCTTGCCAAATTAAAGGAGTCAGAGGAGGAGAAGAAACACAGGCCCCTGGCCATTGTGACTAGGTTCTGTATTAAGTTACAGTCCTCTTTTTTTGTCTGCCAACTGGACACTAGTTAGGCTTTTACTTCTATTCTTACTTCTGGCTTCTTGCACATTTCTACTCCCGGCACTCTTGGCCTTTACTATTTTCAGCACAACTATTGCCCTCTTTTATTTCAGGCCACCACAGACCTTTACTTCTGGCATTCTTGGCCTTGTTACTTCTGGCTACATTACAGTCCCTTCTTCTGGCATCACTTACTTCAACCTAATCCACTTGGATGACAGCATAAACAGACCTGCTCACTACAGCACCAAACTTTTGGCTACACATCAGTCCCTACTTGCAGTATCGATACTCTAATAACTTATCCAATATACTATAGTTATAATACTACAGGAGGTTTACCACTGGACCCAACTAGCACTGGGACATTGGATTTGACCAACAGTGCAACACCAGCACCAGACATTGGTATTGACCAGCGACTGCTTAACACCAGCACTACATCACAATGCCAGCACCAGAAACTTAAAAGGACATTCTCTCTTCTTTGGCTATGTCATCCAGATTCAAATAAGCTATTCAGTATACCTTGGTTATAATTCTATGGAAGGACTTGACCAACCCCTTCAACACCTTCACTGGACTCACATGCTAACCTAACCTACAATGACTCTGGTCTGCATTGTAAATAAATTTTGCATTAATCTTAAATATCCTCGATCTGTTGTCCATTTTGTTTCACCTGTCAGATTTCATGTCTTTGATTTAAAAAATGTTAGTAGGCCTCTTGTGACCTCATACTTATTTTGGGCACTCAGGCCATATAACATTCCCCCCCTCTAGGGGTGGGGGTCCACTACACACATAAAAATGAATATGGATGAGACACATTTGAGACAGTGCATGCCTTACAGAATAAAATTTGCTTGCTGCTATAATCAGCCCATGGTTTTATTTTGGGGTTAACAATCTGGCCAAAGATATTTTTAAGCCACAAGCATTTCACTGAAAGAAGCTGCATCCTGAGAATGAACATGGTGTCTGGTCTGAGCTGCAATGCTACTAGTAACATCCAGAATCAAAGGATTTCACAAATTTGGATGAGAATGTCCAATCTCTTATCCAGTGTATTGTGAAAGATGCAAACAAAAACACAAGACTCTTACTCCAATGTGAAATTTGAAAGAAATTTACATTTATTAAATGATATGAAAAAATAATAAAAGCACAAAATACAAGATTTATGAAACAAGTACAAAATTTTCCTTTGTGTCAAGATAAGTTTTGATTACAATACTGTTGGGCTCATAAAAACAAAATTATTATAAAAAAAATGTTTACATATTTTGATTTATATGACTGTCAAAAGGAGTCGCAAATGATGGCAACTTCATAAATGTTGCAGGGTTTCTGATTTGTTTAGACAATAGTTCAGTTTTACAGAGATGAGATAAATCTCGTATTTTCATAAAAAGTTCAAAATCAGAGTTAATACTTCTAATTTTGTGATAAACTTTCACAAACAACTATAGAAAAATAATCAACTATAGAAAGATATCTCTCTAAATTTGTAGAAACTTCTGCTTTTTTTTCCTTTTCTTTCTTTCTGCTTTTTCTTGTTCTTCCTTTTCATTCTTGGCGGTAGTAAGATTGACTTTTAGTTTTTCTTTGTTGTTCTTCCTATTTATCGTCATATTAGTTGTTGGCATGATTTTTGTGAATGCTGAAACCATTCAGCTTTTTACCTCCCAGCAATTGCCAGTGACTTTCATACATGTAAGCTAAATCCCTACAACCTCCCATCATTCAACTGGGAAAGCCAAGTTTCTTCTATCTTGTTGGTCAAACCAAACTTCTTAAATAGCCACATAGCTCTGATTTGAATCAGAAATTTGATACTTTGGGTTTGTAATTTACTTTTGCCATTGGTTAAAATATCACAAAATGTATCACTTAAACCACACCTGTTTGCAAACTTTATTTAGGCAGGTTTTGAGTTCATAAGAGTTAAGCTTTTTTTTTTCAAATTTGAAAAACAAATTTTATACAGGTATCTTTTATAAACCATCTGGCTTCATTTTGGTAGTATTTTTGCATGAATTTGTGCCTCACAAATACAAAGTTTTACACATCAAATTTTATTCAAGTCATTTTTTTTACTAATCGTCTAGTGCCTTTATAGTAGTTTTTATTTAAAGAATACATGTTAGTAACGTTCTTCTTTTAATACATGCATTTTTTTTAACACACTCTCCTCTAAAGGAAGTGTAATAAACAAACCTTGTCTATTGTATTATTTTTTAAATTTCCCCTTTAATTATTTTTATATAGTTTTACACATTTTTATAGTATTTATTCTAATTAGTAGTGTGTTCCTTTATGCATACGGTATTTTTTTCAATTTTATACCTAAAATTCTCAGTCATTATTGACATAATTTATTTTTGTTTATTTTCATAAATTTGTAATCTCTTCATAAATTAATTCTCTTTGGTAGATTTTTCATTAAAAAACATAGAGCATTTTGAGACTAATAAGATGTTTTGATTGGTTATGGAAATTGCAGTAAAAGTTTTGATTGGTCTTCGTGATACCCGCCCCTGTTTGGAGGTTTAATGTGAAAGCTGCTTCAATAATTTACTATAGCCTTTGCACCAGTAGTGAGAATACCAGAAAGAGTGTAGCATTGTGGCTCTAGCGGCAGGACTGTTGCTGACTAGCTGCTTGCTACGACTGTTTGCGATACAAACAGAAAAAAAAAAAAACACCTACCAACAAGAAGAGTCGCAACAAAAAATACCACTACAACGACTGATAAAGCGAAAATAATACCAGTCGTATTAGTAGGGCTGGTGTGTACGTACGTCTCTAATGTTTGAGGACTAGTGCTTTGTGCATATTACCTGATATCAGAGCACCGTGAAGAAAGACTTCCAGGATGGTGTTCGAATCCTTAGTTGTTGATCTTATGAACCGGTTCTTGGGCGATTATGTGGAGAACTTGGACAGGTCTCAGCTTAAACTTGGAATATGGGGAGGTAAGTGGAAAAAAAAAACGTCTTTATTCTATAATTAATTAATAAATTCATTTTATTTTTCTCTTTCGTTTGTAGTAAAATTTACTTGTAAATTTCTATTTTTCACACTAGCTTAAAAAAAAAAGAAAAAATATTGAAAGAAAATGCCAAAGCGTCTTTCTTTTTTTTTTTTTTTTTTTTTTTTTTGAAGAAAAGAAAAAAATTGGATTAATTGTCGAGTTATTCTATTAAATAAGCTCTTTTTTTTTTTCTGCATCAACTCAGAATTAATCTGTTTTTTTTTTTTTTGTTGTTTTTTTTTTTTTTTTAACTTTATCCTCTCGAGGATGAATCGATAACGCAACAAATAATTTACGTAAATTCTCCAACTCTCAATCCTAATTTGTCGGTCGGGTTGTTTTAATTTGACATTATGATTATATCATTTCTGGTGTATTTGATGCGGTTCAAACTTTGAAATGTTGTCTGCTATAATAAAAATGCTTTCTCAAAACAAAAAAAAATTCTTTCTTGATTGTGTCTTGTTTATAGGCTCGCTTTTGTTTTTAAATTCTCTCTTGATTGTTTTTTTCCTTTTCACAAACATAAAATGCAATTAGGACGCAATTTATGATGCAATTTAACTTTTTCTTCTATTGTTAAACAATATCCAAAATAAATTTAACTTGGGATCATAAAAATAAAGTTTTCCAGAAAGAAATTGTCGTCTTCAGTCTTTTTGTAAACTTGGACAATTTCAACTATAAAGATGATTTTTATTAGTTTTTTTTGCTTTCAAGATTTCTCGTTTAAATTAATACTTAATTTTTGCTTTGAAGGTTAAAAAGCTCACATGTTTAATAAATTCTTTAACTATTTGTTCTCTATATTTTTCACTTGTGTTTTCGGAGTTGATATATTTTTTTTTAACTGAATACTTTATTTATTGGAATTGTTTTGTTGCTTCAACTTTTTTTTAATGTTAGTTAGTTAGTGACAATTGTTCATTATTACGATATGATTTTTATTTTATTTTACTTTTACTAAAAAAAAGAAAAATAACACCAAAAGCTTTTCAAGAAACTAAGAATTGGTTTCTTGGAAAGATTTTATTTTTGTACATTTTTTTTTTTTTTTTTTTTTTTCTAGCAACTGAAGTGAGATTTTTTTGTTTGTTTGTGTGGTAGTAGAAACTTCTCCTTTCTATCGAAGGCACGTCTTAAAAACTAAGGAAATAAAAATATATAGATAAGATTGAAAACTGCGTGTAACAACACTTTGAAAATGATTGTACCAGAATAATGTTTGGATACAAGCCGAGTCATTTATTCTGTCGGATTCTGGTCTGCTCCTGCGTAAAATTCACAGCAAAAATGTGAATATTATATACGACGGCGTATTTAAGCATCTGCCGTGAAATATCGGTTGTTTAGTCTATTAGTGCTTGTTTTTGTTTGTCTTTTTTACTTTAGGACAACGACCTAAAGAATTTTATTATTTTTATTTCTCTCTTACGATTAAATGATTCTTTTCTCGACATTCTAAAAGGGGGCTAAAAACTGACTATTCTTTTTCTTCAACAGTTCCAAAACACGAAAGATAAGTTTTCATCTTTCAATAACTGAGTTTTTCACCTCCCCACCTAATTTTTTTTTTTTTTAATCTATTAATTTTGAAAACTTTTTTTTTTTTTTTTTTTTTGAAGTTTTAAGGGAAAATTGAATATGTAATTACTTTTAATTACTAAATATCGTAAACCAAAAATAAGTGTGCATTTCTTTACTTGTGTCCAAATTAAAGAATTAAGCCGAAACATCGTCTCTTTTTAAAGGGGCAAAAATGCTTCTTAATTGTGTTCATGTTACATGATTTTTAAAAATATTTTCTATATTTTTTATTTATTCTTTTATTAAAGAAACATAAGACTTTCTTTAAGTAACTGACGCTAATTGTTGTACGTTTAAACTTTACTAAAAAAACGTCGGCCAGATAATTAATCTGGTAAAAATTTGTTTTTAGAGAGTATTTACACTAAAAAAAGAATTTACCATATGCACTTTTTACTTTATTATGCAAAAAAAAAAAAAACCAACTTAAAATAGAAAATCTATATAATTTTACGTTTGTTCTTTGGCCATTACAAAAACTTTACTCAAACAAAAAAAAAATAATATTATTTTTCTGCAATCAAAATTGGTATTTTTTTTTTCCAACAGTTGCATTGCATTTACCACGGTCAATTCACCATAAGTGTAATTAATTCGCCGCACCGTTTCTCTTAATTTTGATAAACCCTACAAAATAAAATCTATTTAAAAACCTTTTTTAAATCTTAGTCTT